CCAGTTCTGGGCTCCTGCAACATGGTGAACTTGTCACCCTGCCCAGAGGCCACGAATGTCCCCCGGGCAGGGGAGGAGCAGGGAGGCCTCTTCTGCTTCAGGAGTCACCACCGTGACAGTCTGGTCCTGAGCCTGGGGTCGGTCGGCTGCTTCACCCTGCGTGAGTGGTGGCCAGGGTCCCTTGGTGTCCCAGGAAGGGGCTGCGTTAATCCGTTTGCTGGGAACATGGTGAGCTTTCATAAATTCTATAGTCAGGCCCATCCATGATCAGGAAAGTTTTCTTTAATTATACATCCACGGTTACCTTCTCCCGGCATCAGTTCCATTCTGTCCGTCACGGAGTGATGCTCACTGCTCCCTGGATGTGAGCTCTGACGTGTTTCAACATTTTAGAAAATTCTCAGCGAGTATCTCTTTAAATACTGCCTCTTCCTGACTCCAGTAGACAGGCTCGACCTCCTAACTCTGCCCTCCACAGCTTGTACCATTTCTTTCATGTTTGCATCTGTCTCTGTCTGCATTTAGAATATTTCTCTGGGTCTATCTTCTAGTTCACTAATTTTCTCTTCAGCAATGTCTACTCTACAGTTTAACCCTTGGATTGGGGTTTTATTTTCAATGATCATATTCTTACTTCTAGGAGTTTTATTTGGTTGTTTTTCTTTCTTTTTTTTAAATTGGAGAATTGGTGGAGGGGAACAGTGTTGGGAAATTTGGGAAGGGGACCAGACAAGTTGTTCTTCTTCAGTCTTAATTGTGGAGGGCGCCAGTCGCCATCTGGCTGCCTGTTGGCAGCTCGTGGCCTCTAAGCTCAAGGTGCTATGTTCAATCTTAGTTGCAGGTGGGCATAGACATCATCCCATGTGGGAGTCGAACCGGCAGCCTTGTTAAGAGCGTACCCTGTATCCACTGAGCCATCTGGGTGGCAGATCAGCTCAAAGTGCCAAGTTCAGTCTTAGTTGCAGGTGGGCATAGCCCACCATCGAACAGGCAACCTTGTTGTTAGGAGCACGTGCTCTCACCAGCTGAGCCATCCTGCCACCGGTTGGCAGCTCAGGGTCAACTCAGCTCGGGCGCAGCTCACTGGCCCATGTGGGAATTGAACCGGCAACCCTGTTGCTCAGAGCTCGCGCCCTTAAGCTAACTCTTAACCAGCTGAGCCACTCGGCCAGCCCTTATTTGGTTGATTTTCAAATCTACTTGATCTTATTCCTTCATGATGTTTTTCAAAGAATTAAGCAGGCTCCATCTACCCCTGCATCCTGCATTCACACCAGACATTTGTGGGACTTACATGTCCTTGGGTGAGATGGCCCCACCTCTAGCAAGGCCCATCAGGACAGGGAGTCCTGAAATGCACCCACACTTTCAACGCCCGTTGCACAGGCAGCTGGGCGTCCACGTGGGAGAGAGCCTGGCCCCACCTCACACCACAGGGTGAGCTGCCTGTGGGCTGAAGACCCAGACGCACAGCATGTCCACCACTTCCTGACCTTGGGGTAGGAAGAACGTGCTATAAAGACACACGTGTTACAAACCTCAAAGGAAGTGATGGGTAGACTTGCGAACATTAACATTAAGAGCTTTGATGTAGGGAGAGACTATAGACAGTGTGAGAGGACCGGGAGGCAGGACAGGCAGCGCCGCTACTGACCAAGTGCTCGTGTCCAGCATCTGAGATCCTCGTAGGAAAAATACGAAAAACACAAGGAACTCTATAGAAAAACGGGTGGCAATCTGTTGGCTATCTCACACAAAAGGAAACGGAAGCACCAGGTGTGACCGGGGTCGCCGGGCAGCACTGTCTCAGACGCTGCTGGTGGAGTGCAGACGGCACCATGTTGAAAAAGAACTTGACAGGAGCTAACAGAAGAGAAGCTACACTGGTGTGTGGAGCACACGCATGCGTAGGGTCGGGTGGCCCTGTGTGCCCCCGAGTGGCAGCTGGTGTGGCCCTGACAGGAGCCGCCGTCCGGGCGCCAACAGCAAGGAAGGCTCACAGTCAGCGTGGACCAGCCCTGAGCTCACGGGAGGAGGTCCTCGCTGCAGGCCTGGTCAGACACACAAAGGCTGGAACAGGGGAAACACCGCTGCCCATTGTGGCACTGGGCACAAGGATAGGGCACAGGAGGGAGGCAAGGAGGCAGAGACAGCGCCACTCAGGTCGCCGGTGCAGCAGGGACCCGGTCCTNGTGCTGTGGGGTGCTGTGGGACACTGTGGGTGCTGTGGACACTTTGGAGCAGTGTGGGCAGTGTGGTGTGTTGTGGGCTATTGAATCGTTTCTCTGCTGGACACACGCAGAGCAGAGGCTCTGGGTGGAGAGAAGAAGGAACAGGAGAGTGCTGAGCCCAGACGCACGGCAGACGTGGTCAGACCTGGATGGAGACGGCCAGCTGCCTGGAGCCGTGGGTGTCAGGTAAGAGCTCCCGAGGTGGCGGGGGCATAGCTGGAAGAGGCTCTAGTGGTTCTACTGACAGTTGAGGGAAACCCAGGCCTTGGGGGCCAAAAAAGGGGGTAAATAAAAGGGACTCCAAGTTGCATTTGTTTTGGATCTATGACAATGCTTGGGGAGCCTTGCTGGGGACAGGCCGTCATGGAGGGTTCAACTCCTTCCACATAGGAAATGGAAAGTCTTGTGGGATTTGAGGGCTGAGAAAGGGGAGGGAACTGTTCTTGGAAAGACTTTCCGAACGAAGGGCTAGAATAGAATAAATAGCACTTGATCAAACCAATAAAACCAAGAAAACTGAAAAAGAGGAAACAACATCGTAAAAGAAATAATGAACATAAACTGAGATGGAAGGAGGGAAACTGTGTCGGTTATTACGCTGTGTGAACGCACTACATTCTCCCACTAGAGGTGGAGAATGTGAGTCGGGTTGACAGACAAAGCCTGGCTCCTTGAAAGATGCAAAGTGATAAGAAAAAGGATGACTATGTGGGGGGTGAAGGGGACAAGGAGGCAAATGCCAGCCAGAGGAAAGAAGGCATGGCCTTGTTGTTACCCGCAGATCAGCTGGAATGTCGAGGTGATGCAAGCAGCAGGATAAAGAGGGAAGTCTGGCTCTGGCGAAAGGCACAACTCACGGTAAAAAAACTATAAACCCTCATGCACCAAACAATGAAGCAGCTGTAGAAAGCGCATCAGTTAGAAATGTAGGGAGAATGTCTCAAAAATACAATCACAATGGAAGGTTGACACAGGGAAGGAACGGGGAGGACACGAATAACGGGAATAATTATTACTAAATGTGTGTCCAGCCCATGTGCAAATCCACCGTTTTCATAAGCACACATCACATTTATAAAATCAACCTTGCCTTTGGTCACAAAGAAAACTTTAACAAAATAAAAAGTTTGCAGATCATATTCTCTGAACATAATTTAATAAACTTATAAATAAATGATAAGTAGTGAATAATAATTTTAACTACCTGGAAATTAAGAAAGACATTTCTAGCTATTAAGAACAAAGGCTGTGTGTGCGTGTGTGCGTGCGTGTGTGCGTGTTGGCTATGGGTGTTAACCATCTGTGACACCAAGTAGCCGTCCATGTGGGTGACATGAGCAGCTGCCTCACGTTGTGTGGGGAGGGAGCACAGAGGGGCGGGGACCCTGTGCCCAGGGAAGGCTCCGTGCCCCAGTGACCATGTGTGTAAAGCAGTTGTGGGACACTCACTGTCGGGCACTGCTGATTCTTAAACATGACTTTGAACCTGGTCTGGATGGCTCCTGGGATGACCGGGGAAAAGATGATGGGCACCTTGATGGAGCTGAAAGGTCCAATCTCACCCTCTGTTATCTGCTCGGAGAAACAAAGGCCACAGGGCCAGTCAGCCTTCCTGTGTACGAAGGCACCTCCCACTGTCCCCACCACGGGCCATTTCACTGTGAACCTGAGTGGCGGCAGGACCCACGTTCCTGGGATGTCCTCCTGGCCACGCAGACACTGGTCCCAAGCCTGACCCTGCCCTGTGAGGACTTACTGTCCAGGACCCCAGCCAAGGGGAAGAGGCAAAGCGCAGCCTGAACCCCTCCCCAAATGCTGCCCCTCCCGTGTGTGCACTGCTCTCCTTAATGACCCCCCAGCCCTTGTGCGTGCCCTCTCCCCATCCTACGACACTGGCCTGGGAGGCCCTGCACCCAGGAAACCGCCACTATTGCTGTGGTCCTGGCAGACCCCAGCTTGGGACGGGGAGGCTGGATGCAGACAAGGCTGCCCGCTGCCCAGAGGCTTCATGTCCAGTGGCAAGTCCAGCGCTGGTCAATGGAGGGGCTGCCTGGGGGAGGTGGGTCAGCAGGTCAGGAGGCTGTGGCTGGAGGAAGGGGAGCCTCACTGACCTTGCCCAGTGAGATCTCCGTCAGTTCCTCGTTGGGGGGCATAGTCACAAGGGTGGTCACTCCCTCTGATTCTGGAAGAGAAGGGGCTTCAGATGTGAGGATTGGCTGGGCAGGGAGAGGATAGCTGTGCGCAGACCCACCAGAGACACAGCCACCCCCCCCCACCCCCACCACTGTCCTCCTGGAGCCATGGGGCCCACAGGGGAGTTGAGGTGTCAGGGCGTGACCTGGCCCCTCCATCTCCTGGGTTACCTGCGGCTATGGATTTGGGGGCACTTGCAGGAAGCTGGGTTGGGACGGGGTGAGGGGGCGGGATTTTCCCAAAGCCCCAGGAGGGAAGGAACTGGCCCCTGGGGGGGGTGCAGTGGCCTAAAGGCTGAAGCCTGAGTGCAGTGAGCAGGAGAAAAGAGGGACAGAGCAGGGAGTCAGCCCTTCAGCGTTTGCTTTGAAGCAGGAGGAGACGGGAAAGTGGGGTCAGGAGGGGTTCTGTGTGAAGATGAGGAAACGTCAGAATGAGTGTCTGACGAGAATGCCAGGCGGAGACAGAAAGACGGGGGCGAAGAGGGGAGAGGCTGCAGGAGTGTGGCCTTGGGGCACAGGCCCAGGCCCAGGGAGGGGGCAGCCAGCTCCCCACCATCTGGAGGGCGGACACTGTAGGGGTGGGAGCCCTCTCCTGATGTCCGCCATTTTCTAGCGACCTAGTGGAGCTAAGTCCTGAAAACTTTTAAATAATATCATCTTTTAAGAATGCATTTTATAATCAAATTTTGTAGCCTTATCTTTCACAGATACTTGGTTTTGTCT